ATCAGGTCACTCCTCTGTTCACGACTCTCCGACAGCTCCCATCGTAGAGCAAAAAGCCACAGGCGTCACCTTACTTTCCCTAACACTCATTCATTCCACTCCGCCTGTGCTGGCCACCTGCCCGCCTGTGCCTGACTCAGGGCCGCCGCTGCTGCTGTCCCCCGATACCCACTCATTCCTCACTCCCTTCAGGTCTTCCTTCAAATGTCACTTGCTTGGTTAGGTCTCCTCAGACCACCCTATTTGAAATGGAAACACCGATCTTCAGCATTATCCCCCTTCTTGGATTGATTTTAATCGACATTTATTATCTTTGAATAGACGGTACAATTTGAGTATTTTACTATTGTCTTTCTCCCCTGGTGGAAGTAAGTGCCACAAGGGCAGGGGTTTCTGTTTCTGTTTTATCCACTCCTACACCTCTGTACCTGGTCAGTGCTCGATAAATATTTGTTGAATAGTCATGTACTTTTCTAGGTACCCGAGTTGTAGCAATAACCAAGACTGACCAGGTCTCTGACCTCAAAGAGTTTCCATTCTCTTGGCGGTGCTGTGGGGGGCGGGGGGGATAAACGAGTAAATAAGCGAATGAAATTATTTCAGATTTTGACAAGTGCCATGAAAGAACTAAACAGTGACAGGGAAAAGAGTGACAGAGGCTGGCCAGTGTGACTCAGTGGTTGAGCGTCACCCCATGCACCAAGAGGTTGTTGGTCCGATTCCCGGTCAGGGCACATGCCCAGGTTGTGGGCCTGATCCCCAGTGAGGGGCGTGTAGGAGGCAGTCAATAAATATTCTCTCATTGATGTTTCTCTCTCTCTTCCCTCTCCCTTCCTCTCTCTCTAATCAATAAAGAAAAAAGAAATTGAAAAGAAAAGAGTGACAGAGAAAGGTGGGTGACCTTAGAGAGAGTGGTCAAGGAGAACTAACTCATCATTAGCGCATACACCCTTGGGTTTATGGACATTGTCCATCCTGTTCATAGCTGTGATGGGATTTTCCAGGGTGAGGGTGGAGATTCTCAATTTGAAACCTGTTGAGAAATAGGATCCAGGAGACAGAAAGATGGAGATTTTTTTTTTTTTTTTTTTTATCCTCACCCGAGGATATTTTTCCATTTTTTGTACAGATAGAGTGGGAGGGAGAGAGAGGAAGGGAGAGAGAGAGAGAAACATCGACGTGAAGGGACACATCGAGTGGCTGCCACCCACACGACCAACCAGGGCCGGGGACAAACTGCAACCGAAGTACATGCCCTTAGCGGGAACCGAACCCGGGTCTCTCCAGACCGCAGGCCGACGCTCTAACCGCTGAGCCAAACTGGCCAGGACAAGATGGAGATTTTTAAAAATCATCTTTATTACTGATAAAATGAGCTACTACTTCATCCCTAAGTGAGAAATACTTAACTAGTCAATGGCACAGTTAGACAGCCATAGCCTTCCCCACAGGGACAGAGCCTGCCCTAGTTAGCTTATTTCAGCAAGGAGAGCAGACCAGAATTTCCAGGCAAGCAGGTGGGGTACCAGAAAGGAAAGCGAGAAGACCCTGTGTCTCACACACTCAGTTCCTACTTCCAAGTTCAGCAGTCAGCTAATTCATTCCTCCTGTCCGGCGAGAGTGAGTTGAGATGGCAGAGTAAAGCTGGAGGTGGCACTGGAGTTCCCTCTCCTCCACGGAAACGGGGGGAATAAGATGTGTTTCTTCCTGACATGCCGTGGCGGGGTAGAAACTCCGATTTCCTGCTGAGGGGAGTGTACACTGTGATGAACTGAACTGAATGTTTGTGCCCTCCCCCTCCCCCCAAATTCCTATGTTGAAACCCTCTCCCCCTCCCCCAATAGGATGATATTACTTTGGGGAGGATAGATGAGGTCACAGGGGTGGAGCACTCATGAATGAGATTAGCACTCTCCTAAGAGTTACTAGAGAGCTTGCTTCAAATCTCTGCTCTCAGCCACAAAAAGTCAGCAGGCTGCAACCTGGAAGAGGGCCCTGGCCAAATCAGGCCATGCTGGCACCATGATCTTGTACTTCCCACCTCCAAATCTGAGAAATAAATTGTTGTTAGGCCACCCAGTCTACGATATTGTTATAGCAGTCCGCACTAAGACACATAGTATATGATTAAATACACCTTGTATTATGAATGTATTGCCTCAAAAGCACAATACAAAAGAAAAAATAAACTGAACTACATCAAAATAAAAAGTTTTATGCTGCAAATTATCCCATCAAGAAAGTGAAAAGACAACCCACCGAATGGGAAAAATATTTGAAAATTATATATCTGACAAGAGATTGGTATCCAGAATATATAAAGAACTCTTACAACTCAACAATAAAAAGATAGTAACTAAAAAAATGAACAAAGGACTTATATAGATATTTGTCCAAAGAAGATACACAAATGGCTAAGAAACACATGAAAAGATGCTCAACATCTGTAGCCCTTAGAGAAATGCAAAACAATACCATGATTAGATACCACTTCACATGTATTAGTGTGACTATAATTTAAAAAAGACAATAATAAGTGCTAGTGAGGATGTCAAGAAATTGGAACCTTCATACATTGCTGGAGGGAATGTAAAATGATACTATTGCTCAAAAAGTTAAGCTTATGCCCTGTCAGTGTGGCTCAGTAGATTGAGCATCGTCCTATGAACTGAGAGGTCCTGGTTCGATTCCCTGTCAGGGCACATGCCTCAGTTTCAGGCTCAAACCCCAGCAGGGGGCATGCGGGAGGCAGCAGACCATGTTTCTCTCTCACATCAAAGTTTCCATCTCTCCCCCTGCCCCAAAATCAATTAAAAGGGGTAATTAAAAAAAGAAAGTTAAGCTTAAAACCCAGCAATTCCACTCCTACGTATATACCCAAGAGAAATGAAACCCTATGTCCACACAAAAACTTGCACACGAATGTTCATAGCAGCATTTATTATTCATAATTGCCAAAAGGTAGAAACAACCCAAATATTCATTAACTGATGAACGGATAAACAAAATGTGATACAGCCACACAATGAGACATTTGGCACTAAAGAAATGAAGTACTGACATAGGCTACAACATGAATAAATCTTAAAAACATAGGCTAGTGAAAGCAGCTAGACATCAAAGGCCATATAACATAGGATTCCATTGATGAGAAATGTCCAGAATAGGCAAATCCATAGAGACAGAAAGTAGATTTGTGGTTGTCTAGAAGGAGGGGAGGGGAGCATTTGGAGCGACTGTTAATAGGTATGCAGTTTCTTTTTTTAAAATTTATTTTTCCTTTATTGATGTTAGAGAGTGAGGGAGAGGGAGAGTGGCAGAAACACCAATGAGAGAGAACACTGATAAGCCTCCTCCCACATGCCCCCCCACTGGAGCCACAACCTGGGCTTGTGCCCTGACCAGGGATCAAACCGGTAACCTCTTGGTGAATGGGTTGACGCTCAACCACTGAGCCACACCAGCTGGGTGGTATGCAGTTTCTTTTAAGGGTAATGAAAATGTTCTGGACTAAGTGAAGACAATTGAACAACTCTGAATATACTGACCACTGTGTACTTTAAATGGGTGAATTGTATGGTATGTAAATTATATGACAGAATTCCTTTCCTGGAGAGCAGATAATATGCAAAGCCAGCAGTGGTCTAATTTTACTCACAAATTCCTTACATATCTAGCTGTCAGGTTACTATTTTAAGCAAATACCAAAAAAAAAAAAAAATCTCTTTTAATTCTTTAATGCAATCTTTAAGATTATGGTTTAGTAAACCATCCAATTCAGTATATTCTTTATATATGACAAAATCAGGAATTACACGATACTGTTAGGTTGCTCAATTCAGATATGTATATTATAAAATATTTATATTCTTCAGAGAACAGATTGGTGGCTGGGGGTGGTGCAAAATGGGTGAAGGTGGTTAAAGGTACAAACTTCCAGTTTCAAGATACACCCTGGGATGTGATGTGCAGCACAGGGACTATAGTTAACAATATTGTATCGTATATTTGGAAGTAGCTACGAGAATAATTCTTAAAAGTTCTCATCACAAGAGAAAAATTACAACTACTTGTGGTGATGGATGTTAACTAAACTTATTGTGGTAATCATTTCACAACATGTACATATATCAAATCACGTTACACACCTAAAACTAATATGATGTTATATGTCATTATCTCCTAATCAAAACATGTGTATTGTCTGAGGATGGTTTCGTTTGACTCCAAAAGTCTTCCTTGTATATGCGTACCCATTTTCTGAGCGTCACCCACTGATACTCTCATATTGTACCATCACTCTGGAACACACTGGAAAAGAAAGCAAATCAGAAACGCTCTCTCCAAAGCAGTAAGAAATGAAGTTCTACTCGTGCTGATTCTCTTCCAATGGGCTCTCTTTGCAGAGGCGGCAGGGCAGCAAGTCGCGTTCCGAATGTGAGCGGGAAGTTTGCAGGAGAACGCTCGCCCCACAAAAGGAGGGCTCTCCCGTTTCCTTTACTTCTTTTCGGCGGCGTCGTGGAGATTCGCGGCGTTCGTGAGCCGCTAAAAGGCAAGCGCCTGGGGCGACGGGGGCGCTGGAAGGCCGGGTGGCGGGCGGGAGTCGCCTTCTGACCCATCTTCCCGACGTCGGAGCGGGCGGCGGGCCTCGTGGCCTCCCTGCCTCGTGGCCTCCGCCCTCACCCGCCAGCGCGGCCCTCGCGGGAGCCTACCTGCACCCAGCCCGCCACGCCGTCACCCCGGCGCCGTCGCCATGGCACCGCGCCGCCCCGCGCCGCACCCGCCCTCCAGCAGCCCGCTCGCCCCTCCCCCCGCCGCGCGCTCCTGCGGGGCAGGGGTGGTGCGGAGGTGGGAGGAGACGCAGGCGAGAGGAAATCGGCGGCGCGACGCCCGCGGCTCATTGGCTGCCTCGTCGTGGGGCCAGAAGCCCCGCCTCCCTGGCCGGGGTCACGTGATCCCTTTCAAAGATGGCCGCCCTGTTGTTTTGATGAATAATACTTGGTGGGGCGAGGGGGTAAGAGTAGGGTGGAGGGGTAGGAGGATTTACTCTTTCAGCCAGAGCATCGCGAGTCCCTTCCTCCTCCTCCCCCCTGCCCGGGCTCCGGCGTGGAGGCGGGGCGTGGCCGGCCTGCTTTGGGAGGGGAGGGGCTTTTCCCCTTCCCTGCTGGGCTCTGCCTGGGCGGCTCTGGGGTCGCGCTACCTCGGGGCATCCACTCTGCAGTCGAACAGTTTCCGCCGGGGATAAAGGGTAGGATCTGCTGGAAGAAGCGCAGCTGCCGCGCCGCCACCACCACGAAGACACACCAGGCTTGGGGCACGAGGCTAGCTGGAGACCAAGCTCCCTAGTCTGGGTAACCTGGGAAGCAGTGGGTAGTTAAGTGGCGCCTTAAGGTAACCCTGTAGCAGCAGCAGTGGCGGCCAAAGGAGGCTGCTCAGGGTACAAGCAGCTGTAGGAGTCTCTGGGGCGATCGGAGTGACCGACGCCAAGGCAGCTCAGTGCCTCTCGTGTTCTTATTTTTTAACCTCTGACTATGCAATTCTGAAACCTCCCCCATTCGGGGGACCAGACAGCCCGACAGACACCTTCCACTCTCCTCCCGCCCTGGTCTCAAGAACAGAAGGATCTCTCCTAACGCCTTTCACCATTAAGAGGAAAGCGATGGAGGAGCTGAGCGCTGATGAGGTGAGGAGGTTGGGGGACACCTTGGGAGATTAGTTGGCAACTCTTTGGCTCTTAGGAAAGGGATGATATTGCGCCAGTGGTGAGGGAACGGAGATGACATTTTCCAAGAATAAAATTAGCCCCTGAGAGGGTCTCTGATTGTATTCACCTGCATTCCTTGCCTTCTTTCATCTCTCTGGACTCCATTTGCTGCTTTTTGAGTCTTCTTTTCGAGTCCGTAAAGAAGGCGTTCATTCTTTTCTTCAGGGTATTAAGCCAGAAGGGCTAGATTTATATCAAGTTAAGTGTGTGTGTGTGTGTGTGTGTGTGTGCGTGCGTGGATGTACGCGCGTGCGCTCGCGCCTGACTGCAGAGATTTAAAGAATAATTTTGCATGAAATCAGTATGTATGGATGTATTTTTAAGGGAAGTATTTGAAAACCCAAGTATGTATGGCTGTTTCATTGTGTAAGTTGATTGAGCATATATTTGTGTTTGGGGGTGGCCTACAGACCGATTCTTTGATATTTATTTAACAAAATGTGTATCTTCTCAATAGCTTAGTGGATTCCAGTTAAATTATAGTAATATAACAGACCACTAATGACTTTTGGCATACTTCTCTTTAATTTAGCGTTTTTCTAGTTTTTTGTCCCTTTCAAACTTGGTGTTGCTGTGGCAAACTCAGAACAACAAGCAAATGGAAGCAAATGGCTTTGTAAACTGCACCCCGTTACGTTTCTGAAGGGAGTCTTAAAGATTCCTGGATGTTTTAAAGGTTTTTTAATACGATTGTCATAAAAATAGTGGCAATTAAGGTACAAGGAATTTCTTGTGATTCTACTGACTTTTCCCTTCCTGTTCACATATTGACCCCTGAGAGGGAAGCTCTTCATTCTGCCTCCTCATTTCTTCCACTGGTTCACATGAAACTTCCCTACAGTATTGTGGAAGTAGTCATCCATCAGGCTGGCTCTACTGTAAAACTTCCATGCTTCAGTTTTAGCTACAGGGTAGTCAGTATACAGGGTGGGACAAAAATAAACCTACAACAATACAATAATTAATAAATAATAATACAAGAAGAAATTCTGTTTTTCGGACTCACAACTGTAAATCTACTTTTGCTCCACCCTGTATTTACTTTGGGTCTAAAATTCTCTAGGGATGGGGCATGCAAGTGGTAGGTTAAGGGTCAGGTAGGAAAGGAAGCAAAGAGTTTTGTTGGTTGTGATACTTGGCTGTTGGGAAAGTCAGGATTGCCCATTCTGTGTTACTTACTGACTGTTCTCTCAAACACATCAGGAATGTCATCTTAAATTAGAAGAATACTGAACAATTTCTTTTATTCAGGTAGGAAGTATGGATTACTCTTAGAGGCACTTTGTTTTATGTAGTTTTTAAAGATGTTCCTCCCCTTTTTTTCTTTACTATTAATTCTAATAGTAATTTCTTTTAAGGCAAAGAAGTTACATTTTTCAGTAGTCCTTTATTTTTTTCCTTGACATTCTCTAAATTGTCCCTGGTTTAGAAGTTTATACATACTTGGGTTTTCACCACGAAATTGTTTTCAAACCAGTAAAGCATACAGACCAGTTAAAGATAATGTATATTTGAACTGTGGCTCTTTACTTTATCCAGTCTTTGAGGAAGGTCTAACTTTTTTGTGACCATATAAGGACAAATGTAATGGTTGTGGAGGAGATAGAAAAACATTCTTCAAGGTCAACAGAATATTAAAATAAATGTGAAAAACTTAATTCACTAATATAAGAGCAATATCAAATTACGTTAAAAAATTAGTTGGATTGAACACAAAGGGATAGTTCAATAACTGGTCATTTTACCCTCAGCAGAACCTAGAACAAATTTTTTTTGGGGGGGGGGATATCTCCTTAAGGTTTTTTTTTTTTTCTTAAATCCATTTTCTTTAATTCTGGGATTAGGTGACCAGTTCTCAACAGAAACAATTCCAAAACTTATACTCTGTTGGTGGAAACTGGTGTCACAGATAGGGTAGGTGGCATTCATTTAGTTAGAAAATAATGCAGTTATGTCATTAAAAATTCAAACATACATCTCAGTGAAAACAGACAACTCAGTGATCTTTCAGTCTAAAATAGGAAGGTAGGTAAAGCAGAGTTTCATATTTTAACAAAATGAGAACATACGAGAATATAGTCCATGAAAAATACGAGGCTGGTATAACCAAACCAGTAGGTCTAGAAGAGTTTACATTCTGGCACTTTTTGGTCTCTCTCATAGATCACCTTGAGTTCTTGTACTTTTTTTTTTTTTCTTCTTTTTTTGGTACATGCCCCTAGCAGGAGCCAAACCCTGGACTCTCTGGTCCACAGGCCAGTCCTCCAACTGCTGAGCCAAACTGGCCAGGGCAAGTTCTTGTATTTTTCTTCTCTTGTGCTAAGTATAGTACTTCGTTAACTCTGTTGCTGTTTGTTACATGTATAACGAATTACAGGGAGTTCATTGCTCTACAGAGCTGATCATGACTAAGTTCATTTCTTCACGAACCTACATTCCAAAGCGTTATTATTGACATTCGATTCATTCTGTACCCTGCTCAGGTGTTGTTTTTCATATACCAAGATGATGCTGTGACTAGGGCAGGTATTTTAAACTGTTTTTCAACTGTGGTGGTGAGATTGCATTGAAATGACTTGCTTTTTTGGGGTTTGTTTATTAAATCTTTATGACCTAGTTCATCTTCAAGATGGCTGGCTGGGATTTAGGGTGTGGTCAAGGTTTTAGAAGAGTGTTAGGTCTTCCCTCTCAAATGTAGAATACATTAACCTTGGACTTGGTGACCTTGGACTTTTCAGTGGTGTTCTCTAGGTAGAAAGGGACCGACATTTAGAACAGCTTCAGAAGCCTGCTCTGTGCCAGGCACTTTGAACCATTGTCTCATTTGATAAAACAGAGCAATCAAGACAGTCCTTCACTTTCCCTTGTTTTATCGGTGAGGCAACTGAGATTTGGTTAGTAATTTGTCCATAGTGACCTGGCTTAGAAGTGGTAGACTTGGAATTCAAACCCAGTGTTCCTAATCTGAAAGCTCTTTTTACTACATTTTACTGCTTAACAACTGGCAATAAATACACCACAGCTTCTACGTAAATATCCTACTAACATGCATGATCTGCATAGTTTTTCTATAGAAGTGTTATTTTTCATGAATACATTCATGACATGACCCAATTTATAGTCTTTTTTGGTACTGACTTTCATCACGCTTCTCCAGAATTGTTCACTCAAGAAACATGTTTTAAAAGGAAGCTGTGTATTACCAGCAATGTGTGAGGTTGGTTAGGAGAAAGCCAGTCCTTTTTCTTAAATTATAATTTAACCAGGGGAGAAGGTAGAGATAGAGGTAACTAGGAGTCCCACAATAACAGTACAGCATGCTTAGTACTATTGTGGGGGTATGCACAGAGACATAAAAAACAAACAAACAGGAAGGGACCCCTGGTGGGGTAGCGTATTAATGGAGACTTCCAAGAAAATTATGTTTATGCTGAGCAGTAGTTGTCAGGGGAAGGGCCCTTGGAACTGGCTGTGATACTAGGGAGCTCAGGAAAGAGCAAGAAGCAGTGGGACTGGAAACAGGATTTTGCTCGGGGGAGCAGGGTCTTGGAGGGTTTTCAGAAATGCCTAGGAGTTTGAACTTTCTTAGCCTATGGGGAGCCTTTGAGGGATCTTTAGGTATTAGAAAGGGCAAAAAAGGTATATTGGGGGAAGGTGGCTGCAGGCTGGGAGACCAGTTAGGAGGCTATTGCTGCTGTCGAGTGAGGCGGTGGGATCCAAAGCCAGGCAGTGCCAGTGGGGATGAGGAGGGCAGACGTCAGAAATATCCAGGATCTCAGTTAACCCACTTTGAGTGATCAGTTTGATATGAAGGAGGAAAGGAGGAAAGAAAAATTGAGCCCTTGGTTTCTAGCTTGGGAGAAGGATGGATTGGGGGAGGAATCAGGAAATCCAGACAAGGAACAAATTTTGGAGATGCAGATGAGTTCATTTGGACCATTGAAAGATGAGACAAAGTAGAGATCCCCATCTCTGGCCTTTCTACTCTGACGTCTCCCTAACATTTTTTAAAATCCTCACCTGAGGATATGTTTAGAGAGAGTAAGGGGGGAGAGAGAGAGAGGTAACTATCAATGTGAGAGCAAAACATTGATTTCAGTTGCATCCCATACACGTCCCGACCTGGGATTGAACCTGCAACCTAGGTATGTGCCCTGATCAGAAATCGAACCAGCATCCTTTTGGTGTACAGGACAACGCTCCAACCATTGAAGCCACACTGGCCAGAGTGAACATCTCCATCTTTTTGGCCTTGTCTTTCTTTGTGACAGGCCTCAGAACCTAAGCTCACTTTTTCCCAGTAGATGGTTGCTACCACCACTTTATGACCAGGATTCCTCTTCAAGCCTGGTAGGAGTATGGGATGTAGTTTCTCGGGCCCTCTTTTCACTCCTTTTGTTCATTTTAGGCAAGATCTTGCCAGAGAACGATAATAGCTGGCATTTATTGAGCTCTTAGTATGTGCTAAGCACTTAACTTGCTCAGCAGGGTGGGCATTATTATCCCCATTTTAAAGATAAGAAAATTGAGGCTAATAGAACTTATATAATTGGCCAAAAGACACATAACTTGTAAGCAGTGGAACTTGGATGCTAATCCAGAGACCAGTTTCAGAGAATCCCTTTACTAAACTACCTCCAAAACAGAAAGAACCTGAGCAAGTTGTACGGTTCACAGCATTTTTATTATTCCTTTTGAGATGGGAAGTGAAGCACTACTTACTGCTAAGGGTGACGTTCATTAAATAGCCTTCTCCTCTTGTAGGGGAAGAAGACAAAGACTTCCGGCCAGGGCCTGTGTCTTCAGGCCTGTGCTCGGAGTAGAGCGCATTTTCTCACAAGGTACTGGTAGTGCGTCTAGGTGGAGATGTCTTCCTGTAAGTAGCTCCTTCAAGGGCATTTACTGTACTTGCTGTGTGT